CTGCTGACATTTCCAAATGTTGTATTTTTTTTCTTGTTACTAATTTCCGGGATGTCCAGAGATCCGAGATGCTCCTAAAGGTGACACCAGCTCCCAGGCAGACAACGCAAAGCTGAGTGCTTTGCAGAAAAAACTGGACATTGAGCTGAAGGTGAAGCAGGGAGCAGAGAATCTGGTTAAAGCATATTCCAATGATCCTCCCAAAGTAAGTCGGATACATTGAAATTGAGTTTAATAAAAAATAATATATAGATTTTTTTTTAAATTGTTGGGGGATGGGCAACACCCGAAACCCCCTTACACCTTTTACATTACGTGCCTTTTACACCCTGACAGAGAGGTGATACAAATTACCAGCTAGAATTCCAAGAGTTTCCCGATATCTCTCACAGTGAAATAGTTGAAGGCATGGGCTTTTTTAAATCAACCGTGAAACATTTTTATAAATTCTAAGTAGAAAGAATGCATGCTTTTTATTGTTTTATTTTCTGATTTTAAAGATTCTCCTTCCATGATGTGTGTCTATAATTCAGTCTGCCTGCAAAGAAGCACTGTAGTGTGCCTAGTGCCCGATACCCCAGATGCAAGCATTCCGCTGCTGTATTTTGTGCCATAAAGGCTCTCGTATACTGAAAGGGAAACAAAATGAACTGGATTTATAGTCCCTGCATGTTATATACAAGGATTGCCTGACATAATCATATTTTAATATCTGGGTGAAAATCATTGTTTGAGGTCAATGAGAATCAAACATAGTCCATGTGTATCCTGGGCTGTGAGTAGTTAGAGTTTATTTCCTAGAATGAGGTTAATTAATCCTATATCTCTTCATACAGTTTAATCAGCTATCTGACTATTCTTATTACTGTTACAGAATGCCAAACATATTGCTGCTGTCCAGAAAAAACTTAAAGGCAGTGAGAAAAAAATAGCCAGTTTGCGCAGTCGAATCCAGTCTCTTATAAAAGGTAAACGTTCTGTCCTCGTATGCAGTTTGAAAGAATATTAATAGGTAACAATGAACACGTATTTTATATTTTTGTGAGTTTTAGTTTTTAATGTTTGGCTGTTTTACTGTGCCATGAGATATTCTGGGTGCCAACTGTTTTTATATATGATGATCCATAAGACACCTGTGGAGGTACAGAGTCCATGGATGTGACTACTCTTTAAAGAAACAATCCAAGCACAATAGCCACTGCAGATCATTATTGTTATGGTGTCAGGAGTGCCCTGCAGCTCCATTGTAAGGAGTCTAATTGTTTTTCAATGGCTCAGGGCTTAGATCAGGAGAGCTAAGAGAAGTCCGTCTGCCCGGCTCTCCAACATTAGTAGTGTACGCACAGAGCTGCACCTGGGAAGAAAGCAAACTGTTCAAAAGCACATTGACGTCTAATAATGTGTTTCCAGGGCAGTACTTACACCATAACCACTACAGCGAGCTTAAATTCTCTTACAAGGAGGTATTAGAAAGCTGTACGTATCCCATAAACCTCTACACTCCAAGGCTTTATGAGGAAATGTACAGCTTTTTCCAATTGCATCGCCTTTGCACTTCCTCTTAGAAGTGGGAGGTAAAGGGAGTAATGAGAAGGTGCAAACAAATGTTATATTATTTCATAAAATGCTTGGATATAGTGTTTTTTTTATTTTATTCTCTGCATTGAGTTTAAAATTATTGGAGTATTATTGATCACTGTGTATAATACATAATACTTACACTATATTATATTGCAACCTTTACAGAACAACCATCGTTACCAGCTCCGGAGACGGACGTTAATACTGTTGCTCCTTCGCTGTTGGTGACGGACACACAGGAGCCAGAGCCGGCTGGGTATTCACTTTACATCTTTCTCATCAATGTTGTTCGGACCTGAATCCATCCCAGTTTACACCACCATACCTGCTCATTATCTATACGTCTATTGTATGTTTGTCTACGGCTGTCAATAGATTTCTCAGCATGCTTATCAATCACAGATACATTTTATAAGGCTGCCTACAGCTTGCATGCTTGTGTCGCCAGATCTCCTTATCTTTGCAGGACTCCTGTGAATTCTGCATTCTGCCAGGCAGGGTGTGAGAGTGCTTTGGATGTCACACAGGAAGCACAGAATGTAGAATTCTATACGGTGCAAAGACATAGAAATCGGCAACTCTAGTTAGAAGTATTCTTGGGGTGTCCTTTAAATAATGTCATGTATATAGCAGCATTATTGTCTAAGATATAATGAGTATAGTGATATGACAACCAGATAAACTATTCTTTTCTTCCTTCTCGTAGCAATTTTCCAATCTTACCTTTAAAACCAATTACCCTACCGGATGTGGAACATGACTTTGAGACACCTAGTCAAACAATTTTAGATGACATTCAGCATGAAATTTCAGCTTATATTAAGATCCAGAATATACTGGCCCAGGTAAAGCTCTAAGATGTGCAGGTTGGTCTCTGACTAACAGTCGCTTTCACAAACTTTTAATAATATGGTAATTTAACAAAATCCTCTGCAAAATACTAATAAATGTGACATAGATCCCCTTAAGTGTTAATGCAGTAAGGCAAGTATTTGGTTTCCTTAAGGCTGATTATATTGTTATATAAAGCATACATAGAGAGAAATATATGCAAATACATTGTAGTAAGTTTTAAGTATTAAATCGTTCTCGAATGTCTAACATTAAAGATGTGTCTCCAAGCGCCGTCTCTCCCTCTCCTCTCCTGCCCGGACTAACACGGGAACATTAGCGCAAGTAGTGAAGAGCCGGCAGTGACTGGATTAGAACGTCAGCTAACACTCTAAGCCCATCGTGAGCAAAGGATAGAAATGTACTTACATTAGATAACAATGGGCAGCCGACTCAGCCAATCACTGAAGCCTCCTCACTGCTCGCACAACTTCTTCTAGCCTGAGCTGAAGAGACAGAGATTGGAGTCACATCTTTAGTGTTAAATTGGTCAAGAACAGGTTAACAGTTACATGTAAGACGGTGCTTGGGCCTCCAGGCACCATAACAACGTCAGTGTAATAATAACATGCTACACAAACTTAAGCCCGTGGAATCAAACTCCCACTACTCTTGGGCGGCAGCAGTGACTATAGTATTCATCAACCCAAATACAAAATTAAAAAGTTATCTGCATGCTATCCTAACCCTATGTACTTTAAATGATGATGATTTCAGTATCACTCTAATGGCCATTAAACTGTAAGCTCACCTGCCACGGCAAGGCAAACCTATTAGATGAGTCCTACACAAGTTGTTATGGTACCTGGAATGTTCCTTTAAGTAGACTCATTTCCTGTATTCTAGTTTGTTTGTAGCAGTTTAAAAAGTATCGCTGGCCCCTGTGGCAGCAACCAGGGGATAGACTGTAAAAGCTTTTGGTTTGCTTGAGCATTTTTCTTGCAAAGTGCCTTTTGTTTTCTAATTGATTTTGTTTCTGCTTTTTCAGCTCGCCAGAGGTCAGATACCTGATGCTGTTGACCTGAAAGTAGATCAACTTCCAGGTACATTAAAACACTGTGTGTGATTGCTGTGTATATATGTAAGTGTTTATCTATCCATCTCCATGGAGACTGAACCAGTTCTAGCATTTTATAAAAGCTCTCTGTATTTTGTAACTTGGTGTAATATCCTCTCACAGTCTGGTAAGAGCGACATGTTGTATTCCAGTTGGTGTTACATTCTCTGTACCGCTGCCTTATTACATGTCCCTTATCCCTTCTCCCTATTTGGGAAGCAATGTAGCAGTTCCCCTAGCAAGATGTCCCTTCTCCTCTGACACCATGATGGCAGCTTCATTGCCGGCACATCGCAGAGAGAACGGAGAGACCCAAACTGTCATATGACTGTTACTCTCTCCATAATTAGTGCTTCATTCTGCTATTCTGGCATTCAGTCGTGCCAGAGTTATAGCTTAGAGCTCTCATGGGCTATACTGTATTGGACAGTCCGCAGTTTGCTCTTTAATCAATAAACTTATATATATTTTAGTAACACAAACAGAAGATATGAGAACACTGAGAATAGGCAACGCTTAATAGCTCATCCTTGAGTTAGCCATCGTTTAGGTCTGAGAAGATTCATTACAGAGAGGACCATGGACCCTTGTATATACAGCCGATCCCACCCACAAGAGGAATCCAGATCACAAATGCCCACTCTAGAAGATTCTCTAGGGTTGCTGTATGTCTCGTGCAGACTACCTCAGGTTCTCTCTGTAATGGTACAAGTGATGTAAAACCTGTATGATACCTGAACGTGCACCCACCAAAGAGCAAGCTAACTGAGCTGGTTCCCATTCTTTGGACCCACTATTCTCATAAACTCTTGATTATGGCTTATAGTTAAATGCTAACTCAAACAATCATCATAACAGCTATAGCCCTATGTAATGGTTATGATGCTAGGAGTACCTTGGCCCAGTTAATAAGTAATTGGGCAAACAGTTTTGTAATGATTTGCCCTCTTACCAGGGTTCTACCAGGCGCAGAGCTGCAGAAGCCGTACGTCAATACCACCAGTCATTCAGTGACTGAGAACGTCAAATGAGCTCTCTCAGCCAATGAATAACCCTCTGTGCAGTGGTGTAAACACAATCCATGGGGCCTCAGTGCGAAACTGATCCAAGGGACCCCCCTCTCCCTCTCACATCCCCCCCGTCTGACACACACACACATACATACAGACACACATACATACGGACACACACAGACACATACAGGCAGACACACACATACATACAGACAGACATACACACAGACACACTTACATACATAGAGACACACACACATAGACACATACAGACAGATACATACACACAGACAGACACACACTAACACATGCATACAAACAAACACACACACATATACAAAATGTTTAAGTCACCCTCCTGTTTCCTATCTTTTAGGTGCAGGAGGGTGACTTTCCCTGGGGTCCAGTGGTGGCTCAGGTTGATGGGAGTCAGAGTTCCCACTCTGACTCCCTCTCCTTCCTCCCTCGCGGCTCTCTGATAGCTAGGAGGAGTGGCAGGGGCAGTCACTTCCTCCCAGCAGTGATCTCATCATGGGGGCCCGGTCGTGCTGTTAAAGCGCCGCAGCGCTGACTGGGCCCCCTGGAAATCCATACTCATCGGCTGTCCCTAACAGCATGGGCCACTCGATGGGCCCCTTGAACGCGCGACCCTGGCGGTTTGCTGCGCGGGCCGGGGCCGCACAACATGGCCGCTGGTACCCCGTCACAGGGGTCCGCAGGACCCCTGCGACACCTATATGTACGCCACTGCCTCTGTGCATGGAATATGCTCAGAATTGACATTATCCGGCTCCTAACTCTCGTTCCAGACTGGCTAATGACACTTGTCTAAATATCTTCTGTATGCTCAGACTCCAAGCACCATAACCACTTCAGATCACTGAAGTGGTCATGGTGCTTCGAGGAACCTTTTGATATTTAGATTTCTATTAAATTAGATTGTTAGATTGTTTCCTGAAGACAATGTACAGGATATACAATGTTAACATTTCTGCCACGTTAGATCGCAGATTTAATATTTTCGGGAAGGTAGTTCCCCTTATGCATATTTCCAGACATTTGTAATTCATTTCTCCTAATCCCCATACCACCTTGTGTGTCTCCCCATACAGGGGTACGGCCTCATACCCATAATCCACTACTGTCTGATACCAGAATATATCTGGAGTTTTAGCCAATCTTAATGTTCCCATTATTTATAATGACAATGCTGAGCATATCCCATAAACTCAGAAGGTGTGTATAGTTCAGCACTTGGCAGTAGTTTCATTCAGTAAAAGTCAAACTGTTTCTTGAGCTACGTTCTCGTCATGTTTTTAAATGGATGGAGCTAGTGGTTGCCACTCGTGTAAACATAACAAATGTTCTCCCCATGAAATCTGTAAAAGACGTCAGATGTCGGAGAAAGTACTATAACCGGGCAGATTGTCGCTGCTTTTCTCTAAATATTGTGGATATAAGAATCAGAAAAAGAAAAGTACAGAAAAAGTAGCTTCTCACAACGAAATATCTGGAAGGTCACGGGTTATTATAATACATGTGTGTAGGTAGTGGTAACAATGTGGTGTGACCCATTATCCCCACCAACCCGTTTCCCCCCCCTCCCCAATTAAGACCAAGAAACATAATTGTGGTATAAACAGGCCACAGCTTTATTTATAAATTAACAAGCATATATATATAAACCAACCATAACTAGCCTTTATAGATATGAGCATGATATAACTCAAACTCGTCCTTGCCAACCAGACCATAACCCCTCTGGAGTACCCCCCCAGGGCACCTGCCCTCCCCCCTCGTCCAAAATACCTGGCCTTCAACTTGGCCTTCCAATTCCACATGCCAACCCCTGGCCGCCTTTCCTGGCATGGAGGGCACGCCCAAATACCCAAACATTTCCCGAGGTTAGGGGAGGGACCAGACCCAGCATTCCTTCTTCCACTGTACTCCTTTTTCCAACTGGTTCGGCAAAGGACCATACCCGCCGCCTGTGACAAGAAAAATAAATTAATAACAAGCAATAAGATAACAAGGTTAACAAATTTAAACCTATTTAGTTGAGAAAAACGTCGCCTGAGAGGGGATATGATAACATTATACAAATGTATTCGGGGCCAATGCAAACCATTGTGTGGAAATCTATTCACAAACCGGACTTTACATAGGACACGAGGCCATGCGTTTAGACTGGAAGAAAGAAGATTTTGTGTAAGGCAAAGGAAAGGTTTTTTTTACTGTAAGAACAATCAGGATGTGGAATTCTCTGCCTGAAGAAGTGGTTTTATCAGAGTCCATACAGATGTTCAAACAGCTACTAGATGCATACTTACAAAAACAGAATATTCAAGGATATAATCTTTCAATGTAGGGTAATAACTGCTTGATCCAAGGATAAATCTGACTGCCATTCTGGGGTCAAGAAGGATTTTTTTTCCTAGCTTGTTGCAAAATTGTTCTTCAAACTGTTTTTTTTTGCCTTCTTTTCGATCAACAGCAAAAAACAAATGTGAGGAAGGCTGAACTTGATGGACCAAGTCTCTTTTCTGCTATGTAACTATGTAACTATGTAACTATGTAACAACACAGAACACAGGGAGGGAGGGAGGGAAGTTGTTACAAAATGTCTGCTAATTTATATGACCCCACCCCACTCCCCCATCCTTAATGACACTCCGACTTATTCCACCTATACCCACCACACCCACACATGCCTCTTATCCGGCTAGCTTTCAGCCCGCCTCCTCCGGGCCTTGAAGTATTTGTTTAAATAAAAGTTTATGTATTATGTAGTTTTTCTAACCTTGATTGAACAATACTATATGTAAATCACATAGTGATCTGTCTTTCTTTTTAATTTTCAGAGTCTCCAGAGACTCACGACTCTCTCCACACTGTCAGAAGGTCGTCAACTAGTGATGGGTTCTCCACTGTTGACCTGAACTCTTCTACAAGTGACATCTCATTGGAAAGTACTGGTGGGTCATAGCTGTTATAACTTGCTTTTTCATTTTACAATCAGGTGGATGTTTTAGAGACTGTAAGACAGGAAATCATAACTTTATGAACAGTTATTGCACATATTATGAATATGAGATTGTAGACTTTATTGAGCAACAGATCATCCACATTATATAGCGTTAAAACTTGGAGATTGAAATAAATAGTGCAGAGGAAGGCTGTGCCTTGTTAGTTTTACAGAACTATAAATGGGTCCCGTGCACATTTAACAAATAACTAAATACAGAGTATTAAAGGAATACTACAGGCACTATAACAACCACAGCTATAGGATTTATGGTGCCCGGAGCATCCTTTTACCATCCCATTGTAAGATGTTAAACTTTTTTTGTGTGCACCTGTGTTCTGTCGGGAACCTACGGCCACATCCGCTGCATTCAATGTTCTCCAACCAGAGAGATCCCTATAAAATAAAGTATGACCATCGATGGACCATGTTCATTGGCCAGAGGGGGCTCAGCTGACATATTGAAACTGGAAGGCATGTACATGGCGTCTTCCTGTGATGTCATCAAGCACGGGGGACTTCTAGCAGCTGGGATTTTTGTTGTTTACTCTGTATTTTTCTTTTCTTTCAGTGTTTATACTTCTTGATTTAAAGCTGCTCTCTGGGTCTGTGTTATCTATAGTGGCATTACCTCCTCTACTTAATGTAACTGTCTTATTTATTTATTGAGTGATACTGTCTGCTGACATTTCCAAATGTTGTATTTTTTCTTGTTACTAATTTCCAGGATGTCCAGAGATCTCAGATGCTCTTAGAAGTGACACCAGCTCCCAGGCAGACAACGTAAAGCTGAGTGCTTTGCAGAAACAACTGGACATTGAGCTGAAGGTGAAGCATGGAGCAGAGAATCTGGTTAAAGCATACTCCAATGATCCTCCCAAAGTAAGTTGGTTACAGTTAAACTGAGTTTAAAAATAAAGAATACTTTTTAAAATTTTTGTTGGGGGAGAGGCAAAACCTAAAACCCTCTTACACCTTTTACATTACGTGCCTTTTACACTCTGACAGAGAGGTGATACAAATTACCAGTTAGAATTCCAAGAGTTTCCTGAGATCTCTCACAGTGAAATAGTTGAAGGCATGCGCTTTTCTTAATCACCGATGAAGCATTTTATAAAATTCTAGGTAGAAAGAATGCATGTTTTTTTTTATTGTTTTATTTTTGTGATTTTAAAGATTCTCCTTCCATAATGCGTGTCTATAATTTAGTCTGCCTGCAAAGAAGCACTGTAGTGTGCCTAGTGCCTGTTACCCCAGATGCAAGCATTCCGCTGCTGTATTTTGAGCCATAAAGGCTCTCGTATACTGAAAGGGAAACAAAGTGAACTGGATTTATAGTCCCTGCATGTTATGTACAAGGAGTAGTTACAGTTTTATTTCCTAGAATGAGGTTAATTAATCCTATATTTCTTCATACAGTTTAATCAGCTATCTGACTGTTCTTATTACTGTTACAGAATGTCCATCATATTGCTGCGGTCCAGGAAATACTTCAAAACAGCGCGAATAAAATAGCCAGTTTGCGCAGTCTAATCCAGTCTCTTATAAAAGGTAGACGTTCTGTCCTCGTATGTAGTTTGAAAGAATATTAATGGGTAACAATGAAAATGTATTTTATATTTTTGTGAGTTTTAGTTTTTAGAGTTTGGCAGTTTTTCTGTGCCATGGGATATTCTGGGTGACAATTGTTTTTATATATAGTGATCCATAAGTCACCTGTTGTACAGAGTCCCGGGATGTGACTACTCTTTAAAGAAACAATCCAAGCACCATAACCACTACAGATCATTATTGTTTTTGTACCAGGAGTTCCCCCATTGTAAGGAGTCAAATTGTTTGTTTTTTTAAATGTTTTTTATTTATCTGCATTTTTATTCGGTTGTACAGCAGTTTGACATATACAATGGTTGAAGGCAGTTTAATGGATTGCACAGTACATTGGAGAAGCGACACATAAGTTGAAAGAGAGTGTAGTTCACAGGGCCGGACTGGGGATACAAAGCAGCCCTGGAAAAAAAAATTGTGCCTGCCCCATAAGTCACTGCGCCATATATTGTCGCGTGTAATATGTAAGGCTATGTCTTGCCAGGACAGATGATTGAGTAATATATATATATATATATTGCTTTTTCTAATATAAAATATTGGTCCTTTCAGGGTAAAACGTTTAATTATACAGTAAGCATACGCACATGCAGACACAGGCAATTTCACTGACATTTCAGTGACACACACAAGCTCATTGATACACAGCCTCATAGACAAACAATCTTACTGATATACATCAGCTCATTGACATAAAAACACAAGCTCACTCACTAGCAGGCACACGCATGCAAGCAAGCTCACTCACTAGCAGACGCACACACACAGCTTAATGTGGTGGTACTGGTGTCTATAGCATGTCCCTACAGGCTTTTCAACGTAAACACTGACTTTTCAGACAAAAGGCAGTGTTTACATTGCTTCAAAGTGACACTGCTAGTGACAGTCACTCAGACGGTCACTAGAGGTGCTTCCTGTGTTAGTGCCCTCCCGCCCTCGCGCGCTGCTGAATGAGACTGGCGCCGGAATATGACGTCATATTCCGGCGCCAGTCTCATTCAGCTGCGTGCTGGGGAGCAGAGCCAGCGCAGCTCCCTCAGCGGCCGCCAGGACAAGTCCGCCAGCGGCCGCCAAAAGACCTCCCCAGCGGCCAGGGGAGGGCTGGCAGCCTTAGGCCTGGGGGGCAAAACCAGTCAAGTAGACTGGTGCACCTGCCCAGGATCAGAGCCGGTGCAAGGATTTTTGCCGCCCTAGACAAAATAAAAATTTGCTGCCCCCACATGTCACATCACAATGCCCCACCCATATGATCTGCCATATGAACTAACGCCAGTGCTGCACACAGTGTGTGTTTACATTAAAAAGCCTGCAGGGACCAGCTATAGACACCAGAACCACTTCATTAAGCTATAGTGTCCCTTTAATGTGAGGTAAATTATAGATTAGTGTCACTAATAATATACTAGATTGCCTACTTACAAGCAGATGAGGATGATGATGGGCTGCAGTTTGGCTCCACTGGTCTGGTGTAGAACAGGATCTCTGGAGGCTGTTTGCAACTGTGGTCACAAAATTCAATGTTCTGGGAGAATTGGAAGCAGCTCAATTTTTTGGGGGCCCCTTACACAGCTCAAGGTCTGGGCCCCAGGGCCTGACGGTGAGTATGCCCATAAGGCCCACTCATAAGTTCCACCCACCTGTGAGTTCGCTCACAGGGAGTGGAGTGTGTAGGGGATGTGTTATGTGTTATTGTAGAGGATCTAATATGTGTGCTTATGGTATGTAGTGTTTAGAGTTACCAGTTTGTGCAGGTGATGCAGTGTGTTTGTGTGTAGTGGAAGCAGTGTGTATTTATGTATAAGGGATGTATTATGTGTTTCTGGTTGTGTGTAAGGGATACATTGTGTGAATCTGTTTTTGTATGCATAAGGGATGCAAGGTGTGTGTCTGTATGTGTGTGCATGAGATGCATTGTGTTTCTGTGTG